AGAGAGAGAGAGAGAGAGAGAGAGAGAGAGAGAGAGAGAGAGAGAGAGAGAGAGAGAGAACAGGAAGCATGGGTAGCGAGGGCGAATGAGAACAGGCCCACAACTCAGCTGATTGGACACGGTTGACCTTTTATGCCTTTCGTTCTTGCATGTTGAGTCTCATGATACTTTGTTGAGCGACTTCCCATTGTCTTCTTCTGGATTCTGGAATAGATTTACAGTACTTTCGATCAGACAAGTCGATTTTCAATTTGATTGGAGGGTGGAGAGACGTTCGGCGAGATAGGGAAATATTTACCAAGCTGGAGGAGGCGGGAGAGGCGGGAGTTGCAGAAGCAGGTGCTCTGAGGAAAGAGACACGGCTTGGCGAGGCGGCAGCAGCAGCAGCAGACGACGAGAGAACGCCACGCGTCTTCGTGCCGACGGGCTCAGCTGAGACGGCCCCGCTGGACGGGGCCGCCAGAGTCACAGCTCGAGCAGATACAGCCATTGCCATGTCGGTCGACGAAGCTCCGTGCGAGGAGGGGAACGACAGAGCCTAGAGGCACAGCGAGACAGGGAGACAGAGAGAGAAAGAGAGAGACCCACTACCGCCACCGCTAGCACGGGTGTCCCCTCTCGCTCTCCTCGGCTCGTGGGCTCCCTTCCTCACAGCAGCTCGACTACGTGTTCCCAGGGCCAAAGCACCAGCTTTTCGATCTCATAACTAATTGGCAAAACTACCCACCACTCTCCACCACGCCCCGTCCAGGACCAAGGGATTGATCGAGAATGAGTAAGGCGTGACAGGGTAGGAGGGTAGGAGGGGTGGGGGGTTGGGGAGCGGGAGAGGAATGCGACCGAAAGTGCCGCCTTCTGGGCGGTTCAGGTGGCATCCCGCCCTGATCACGAACCGATAACCTTCTATTTTTCGTTTTGCCTTTTTCGCTTTATGTTTTTTTTTTTTTTTTTTTTTTTTTTTTTTTTTTTTTTTTTTTTCCTAGTTTGATTCTTTACTAACGGCCGTTCACGTAGGCTCTTTTTGTTTGTTTGTTTTTTGTTCGTTCGCGTAGGCTGACCATAGCCATTCCTTTCTCCTCTCTTTCTCCTTTTTCTTGCCCCTAGGCTTCTCCTTCCACATATATTCCCAAAAGAAAACGAACGTCCCCTATTTGTTCAGATCCTCTGCAACAAGCGTCAAAAAATAAACCCAAACAGACTCTTCATTTTTTTTTATTTTTATTTTTTTTTCCAAACAGACTCTCACTCTCCCCTCTCACTCTCTTCCAGCCTCCCAACCCCCCCTCCCCGCCCTCCTCCATCCCTTGATTTATCGTCAGACTGCACCCTTGATCGCCACCCTCTTCCCCCTTGCCTTCTTTGGCCCTTTCCTCACGGGTCGAGGTCCAACCTCCGCATTATTCTTCTTCGCCTGCGGCCGTTGATGTTCATACATAATTAGATCGACGCTCAGATACGCAGGGACGAAATAGGTGAGATGTTGGCCCTGGGACGTAGTACTACAGTAGAACCCGCACGCACGATCAGAGGCCAAGTCCCACTTACGCTGATCCTTGATTTCTGGTCGTTGATCTTCCGAATCTGCGGCCAGAAATGGATCGTTCGGGTAAGTGGGACTTGGCCCCAGCTTGGGGAGCAGGCCCAGTAGGTTTGGGAACAGGCCTGACTTCCGGTGGGGTCGCGAGCAGGAGGAGCGAGCAGGTATGGCAAGGGGTGGGAGAGTGGAGGTGCGCAGAGGTGCGAGCTGGAGTGGGCACACGAGGTTACTTGCTTGCTCTCCTCCTCCTACTCTCTGTACTACTGCCGGGGAGAGAGTCGTCCGATCACCCTTTTCTTTTTGGGAAAGAACTACGCGCTGACTCACTCATCCACCGGAAGGAATGGCATGGAACGGCCGCTTTCAGGATGTCCGAGGGCAACCTACCCACACCGCCTGGCTTTCCAGATGGACCCCCTCAGTCTCGTCCGCGTCGTCCTCTGCTGGTCATTCATCTCCCTCCCCCAGCCGTCGACACTCTCCCATGTATTTTTTCTGATTTCTGACGGTTCGGCATAGACGGATTTCGATTTGGATAAGGCCGGTACCACACATCCGTCCGTCGGATTGCCGAGCCGCTCGTCCACCAGTTCATCGCTCGAGTGGCTGGCGACGTTCCCCCCTGATTGGTGGAGGCCCTGAGTTCTCGCTTTTAGAACATAGTGGACGCTTCAACATCATACGGACAAGGGTTTGAACTCGCTGCTGGAGAATCAACAATTCTACAGCCCAGTGCCACAGCCTACAGCCCAGGCCGAAGGCCAATGCCCCCCAACCTTTCCCGCGTACAGACAGCCGATAAACATGGGGGTAGGACTGGGGGAGTAGGGGTGTGCCATGGAGAATTGGAGAAAGGAGGGAGGGTGGGGCCTCATGGGGGGCAGGACCCCGAACCAAAAAACAAAACAAAACAACTGGGCTAGCTCAGTTGGTACACCCCTGAACTGTCGGAAAAAAGACCCCAGGTAAGCTCCACTGGCAGATTAGCGAAGTACTACAGTTCTGAATTACGGAGGGCCCGTCAGTTCTATGACGGTACCTCAAGGCCGTTGCCCTTTTTCCTTTTTCTGCGGGCTTAGCCCGCACCGCCCACAGCGTGGGCGCTTAGCTAGTATATATATATATCTATATACAGGGTTGCCAGGCCGAACTTACGGAGGCCCCTAAGCTGAACCCCGAACGTTCGGGCGTTCAGGTCCCCGTACGGGGCCCGAACTTGAAGGGGTTCGGACCCTGCAAAAAAATATTTTGGCACCTAAATATTACTAGTTTTTTCTGAAATTTTCTTTTTGTGTTCTTTGTGATGTAAGGTATCTCCCTCTGAATTTTGAAGCGATTCTGACCACTAGTACCTTTCCCGCGTGGGAAAATAGGGAAAACTGGTTGTTTTCCCAATCGCCTGAATTTTCGGAGGTCGGGCCCGACGACGACTGCCATTGATAAATCTGATCGGTGGCCGTCATTTCGTTTCGACCTCCAAAAAGGTCGGATGCCTACCCGAGTCCCGGTATTTTCCAAGCGGCAAAGGTACTAGTGCCAAAAAAAAAAAGAAAAATCCTCAAAGATGATGGCCGTCATTTCGTTTCGACCTCCAAAAAGGTCGGATGCCTACCCGAGTCCCGTCATCTTTACCTAATTTATTTTTTCTCTATTTTCACTTTTTGTTTTTTCCTTTCTTTTGGGGCATGAAGCAAATTATTATTTTTTCAAAATTGCCAAAGA